TATTCTATTCTATTCTATTCTATTCTATTCTATTCTATTCTATTCTATTCTTAATTCCAGATTCTATTCTACTCTACTCTACTCTACTCTACTCTACTCTACTCTACTCTACTCTACTCTACTCTATTCTATTCTATTCTATTCTATTCTATTCTATTCTTCATTCCAGTATCTATTCTATTCAATAGTTTCAAAAACTATTTTGCAGTGCGTGAAGCTTGAATCTAAGTCATGCTGAAAGAATTTTAGGAGCAGAATAACAGAGTTGGAAGGGACCTTGTAGGTCATCTAGTCCAACCCCCTGCCCATGCAGGCCCTATACCATTTCTGACAGACGACAGTCCAGTCTCTTCTTGAAAGCTTCCAGTGATGGCGCTCCCACAACTCCCGAAGGCAACTTCTGTTCCATCGGTTGATTGTTCTCACGGTCAGAAAGTTTCTCCTTATTTCCAGGTTGAATCTCTCTCCTTGTTCAGTTTCCATCCATTGTTCCTTGTCTGGCCTTCGGATGGTTTGGAGAATGGCTTGAAACCCCACTCCCCCCTCTCTGTGGCAGCCCCTCAAATATTGGAAGGCTGCAGGTAGTATTCATTTTTATTGGCTGTATCCACTCATGATTGATTTGTTTATTATTAGTCAAATTTATACCCTGCCAACATCACTGTTTACGTAATTCTTGGCGGTTTACACATAGTCCTTGATTACAATCGACAGGAAGCAATGGATGGAAAGGAATCAAGGAGAGAGAAGCAACGTGGAATTAAGGAGGAATTTCCTGACAGTGAAAACAATTAATCAGTGGAACTAGTTTAGTTTAGTTTACTTTATTGTCATTGCACCTCGTACAACGAAATCAAACACCATCTTCAGTGCACATCGTGACCATGAAAATAAACACAAACACACATCCTTCACACATTGAACCAGAAACCCCCAACACCACACCAACACTGCACTATACAGCAGAATTCAAAAGAGCTACTGTCCTGGGATAGAAGCTGTTTTTCAGCCTATTTGTCCTTGTTTTTATTATTATCCTGTACCGGCTGCCAGATGGTAATAGTTCCAAAAAAGGGCCTGCCCAGGATGAGATGGATCTTTGAGAATGTTTTGAACTTCCTTAAGGCAGTGGGAGCTATAAAACTCTTCCAAAGAGGGGAGAGGGCAACCCAGGATCCTCTGAGCAATGACGTTAACCCTCTGGAGTGCCATCCTATCTGCATCTGTGCAAATGGCAAACCATACAGAGGTGCAGTAAGTTAAAATACTCTCTATGGTGCAGCGGTAGAAGGTCTCCAGCAGTTTTCCATCCAGTTGTTCTTTCCTGAGAAGCCTCAGGTAGTCTAATCTCTGCTGGGCCCTTTTGACCAGGGCTGCAATGTGAGCACCCCCAGGTCAGGTCCTCTTTTAGGGTAACACCCAGAAATTTAAAACTGGCCACTTGCTCCCCTCAGTCTCCCTTGATAAGCAAGGGCTGAGTGTCTGATCTGTTCCTTCTATAGTCCACTATAAGCTCCGTGGTCTTATTGATGTTGAGAACCAACATCAAGTTACTCTATTCCTAAAATCATCCGCTAATGCTTTTCCATATTTCTGCCCACCGTGCAGACCCAAACTAGAATAATGTTTGAAAGAGTTGACACCATAGAAACACGTATAACTTCCCTTGACACCATTGTAGCATCCCTGGATACTATACAAACTAGACTGACAAACCTTGAAATAAAACAGACAACACAAAAAAATGAACACCAAACATCTACAAGCCATACTTCTGCCCAACAACTGCAACCAAAACCCAATCCACAAATCCTTCAAATATCAATATCCCCATCCTCACTAAAGAAGCTGTTGAGCGTGAATGGAAAGGACCAAATGTCGTCTTATTTGGTTTAGAGATCAGTGACAATGATGACATCACTAACGTTTGAAACATCATCAGGGAATATCAAGCATCATTGTCTCCACACCACGAAAGCATTTGCCACCAACGCTGGAAGTTTTTAAGAAGAGATTGGACAACCATTTGTCTGAAATGGTATAGGGCTGCCTAATAAGGGGGTTGGACTAGATGACCTCCAAGATCCCTTCCCATTCTGGTATTCTATTCTGTTTAATTAAATTACTGCAGAAGCTAGGTTTAATCATTGAGATATCAGAAAAGGGAATCTCTAATGGAAGAAAGACATCAAATTTACACCGAATATTCTACATAGAGAAAACCGGTATAAAATATTCTACCGTGACTGTATTCCAGCATTGATTGCTAAAATTGATTGCTCGGGATTGGAGAGAACAATTTTTTTTAACCAAATAAACAAATCTAAAAATTGAATTTCTTTTCCAACCCGCTACTTTTAGCAAAATGTTACTAACCCCTTGGATTCCTGTGTTAAACTAGTCTTGCACGTGGTTAACTGCCTCTGCATTTCCAGTTGGAAAGTACATACTGTTCCTTCCATATAAAAATGGCTAATTAAGGTGTGGGAGCACACTTTGATGTCCAAAATAGCTTCCAATTTCCAAAGTTAATCTGACACAGAGTTTAACTGTGCTTGGAAGCCATTTTTAGAAGATCGTCGCAATTACAGGCCTGTACCAATCTGAAATTTGTGTTTTCTTTCTTCACTTAGTTTTAAACATTTTAGCTCAGTGTGTTTCAACTTTTGCAACTTTAAAAGGAATGGGGAATTCTGGGAATTGAAGTCCCACCCATCTTAAACCATGCCAGTTGGGGAATTGTGGGAGTTGAAGTTCACCCATTCTTTAAGAATCCTGATTGGGGAATTCTGGGAGTGGAAGTCCACCCATCTTAAAGCATCCTGGCTGGGAGATTCTGGGAATGGAAGTCCACCCATCTTACAGCATCCTGGCTGGGGAATTCTGGGAG